GGGTTTTTTTTTTTTTTTTTTTTTTTGTCGAACGTGTTTGTGTCAATTCTAAGCCACTCCAATTCACGGCCGCTAGAGTTAGAAACGCCTAAATAATATACTAATTTCGCCATTGACGTCGAAAAACCGTACAATAATAATCAAACGTGGAAAATACCTATAGACAAAATAGGTTTTGAAGAAATGACTACCAGCCCCACTGCAAAAAGGCAAGTCATCACCGCCGACAATATTAATTGGAACTTTTCGTTTCGCCGGTATTATATTGTCATGACGGACGTCACGCAATTAATTTTTTTTTTATTGAACACCGATAATCGCAGAGCCTTTTGTGACGCATTCACTTCCCCGCGTAAGCGACCGATCTAATATTATATTATCAGGGCTCGGAATAACGAGAAAGTGCGTAAGTTCTGCGGTTTACAGATATAGTACCTATACCTAGTTGAAGTATAGCACAATGATTGTTTTTTTGAGTTTCCAATTTAAAAGCCCAGCCATCACATCGAATATCCTCCCGGTACTGTACATCCCAATCTCACTCGACCAAGTACCTTGTTAAAGCTACGCCAAGGGACAGCTAATTCAGTGTTTTGAGCACATAATGAAATTAAAGAAAACCAATGAATTCAAATCATAAATTGAACGGGGTCCAAGATGCAAATGATCCAGTGGCAGAATGATGAATAGTGTGATAGAATCTGGAGAAACTGGAAGTAGTCGATTAGGAGGAAAATACACAATACGTAAGACTGTGATAATTGATTATCGGCAACAATGGCGATGAGGAAAGAAGTTTGAATTGTATTTTTTGTTTTCTTGGTTTTTCATGCTCTGTAACGTTTATCCAACTTACACTTAAAATAAAAATGCAAATTTTTCGCCAAGTAACTTGTATATTACGTATAGACCTTATTTTTAGTAGTAGCTTCACCAGCTGGCATGTATTACCGTATACTGAATAGTCCGTCTAGTTATATAAATTCATGGGTCTGTACGAAATTTGAAACATTTTCTGTATATTCCCAACAGATACTCTAAATAGTTAAAAATAATAATAATAGTAATAATAATATCATACTCAGAAACAAACTGAAAACGGTAAATGATCGTGGAAAATGCTGTTAAAAATATTTTCTCGCGTATACATCATGATAGAAATCAAAATTAAATAAAAGTTTAGTACATTATACGATAATAAAATACACTCACATTTAAGCATGGGGCGCTTTTCACGCGTTTATAGAGTCCCTCTAGTACATTACTCGGGGTAAGTGCTCCGTGCGCGATTGTGGTACTTTTTTTCGTTGATTTTTTTTATTTATTTCATATTTTATGTTATCGCATTGACTATGGGTACTTTTTCTTCTTCGTATAGCTTTTATGCACTCTCCGAGAGTTTTCAACTTCTCGTGATCGTCACGCCATCTACCGCAAGGTATTTGCCGTTTTAGCGCACCTCCATTACCATCTCCTGTTTTCATCCTTACGGCCTAGACATTCATTCTAGTTTTGGCGCCGGTATTAATATAATATTTTGTAACGCGAACAATCGTCCGTATTTCGGTCGGTGTTTTTTTTTTTTGTCTTTTTCGTTGTGTTCGGTCGTGGTGGACAGCGGTCCGTAATAATGTTATTATTATCATCGTTATTTAAACGTCTTTCTCGGTACAACCGATTATGTTAATGTGCGCCGAAATATTGTCGTAAACAATAAATTGCTATATCTACCTACCATCATACGCTATTGGCGTGTTTGATTATAACATTGTTATCGTCTTCGTGCATATACGTTACGTTATTAACATTATTATTATTATTATTATTATTATTATTATTATTATTATTGTTGTTATTATTATAATTATTATTATTATTATTATTATTGTTGTTATTATTATTATTATTATTATTATTATTATTATTATTACTATCGTTATCATCGATACGCCATCGTTTTATAACCGTCGTCCGTACAATACCACAATCACGTTCTCGTATGCCCCATAAGTATATAATTATTGCTATTTTGGTAATACGTAGTTTACATGACTAATTTACGATCGGACTACTATTACGCATCATATTATTACATAAATACATTCCCAAAGTGTACATTATAAAAATATTGGCAAAAAATGCTATAATTTTCTTGGATGAAAAGATAAGTAGTTTCAAAATATTTGGGCGAAAATCGAAAGGTCACACAACTACGTCGTCGGGTCGAGCGACAAGACGCTAATATAATTGTTGATTTTTAATTTTTCAAAGTATCTAATAACCGTTGGCGCAATTGGAAGGCGAGAGTGCTTCGGGTCTTTATCCCTCCCCCTAAAAAAATCGAATAACATTTCGAAATGAGAATTTGACCATTTATTGATTTACAATAACACAATATCGATTTTATAATAGAACATTTTATTGCATAGATAATTTTAACTTGAATGTGTCGATTTGAGTTAGAAATAAGAAAGCACCTCTGCTCTGCTCAAGTTTTTTAAATTCTCTATACTACAATATTTTTATATAAAATGTACACTGTTATTTAATCAGTAACATAAATACATTGGTAATCTGGTTTTAACCGAGAGACGGAAATGTCCGTCACGATAACAACTGGCATACGGGCGATCGGTATACGAAACGATTTTGTTTTAGTGGTTTTGTTTACATATGACAAATGCTAGTCTTAGGTCCCAGTTGAGTAACAGAAAAACCCGAAGCTTAAGCTTGCTCAAATGTCTATTTGCGCCTCAATGCTAATGCCAAACAAATACCAAATTCATACATACCCAAAAGTATCCTAAATGGAAACGTATAGAAAAAAAAAGTCACCAAAATAACGCGACAACGATGAAACTCTAATAAAATACGGCACTACATTGGCCGCTTGTTAACCGGGATCGCGACACAATAAACCACGGGATTTTGCATTTCGGAATGAAGCGAGACGGACGTTGCGAGCGCCACCGCGAGTGCTCGGAGTTATAGTGAGTATAGGTAACAGAACCCTTATACGATGTAACTATTATACCGTCATAAAGTAAAAGTAACCTATTTATTATTCTTGCGAAGTTATGCAAAGTTTTTCCCATACAAACTCTGACACCTCATTAACATCTCTCGTAAAAACTGATTTATCGCGGGGTAGGGGGAAAGTAGGGAGTAGGGATAACTGTAGCCCGTATGTTATTCTCGGTTTACAACTACGTCCATGCAATGTTTTCGAGCATTGGGTTTTCGGCTTCGAGGAATATTAAACGATCAAACATCCCAACAAACTTGTGAATTTATACAATTATAATGAGATTACTATACGGTCGCTTGCGCTGTTCTTAACACTCGATAATCGATTGTCCTAAAATAATAAACAATACTCGAGTATTCGATTTAACGACACTATCAGCGCATCAACACTATCAATAGTATCGATCTAGGGTGGCGTTTTAGATTTCATCTGGTTATATAGAAATGAATATACCTATGTTAATTTTCTTGATTTTTTTTACATAAACCACGGACCGCATCAACATAAATAGTATAAAGCAATTTCAAAACTAAAAGATAATAAATAATTAATCAGGTACTTATTCCGCGAAAACCAATGAACATTGCATAGACAGGTTGAAGAAGAAAAACGAAAAGAAAAAAAAACACTTAATATTTACATTTATAAATTATCATTTATATTTCATACTTATAACTTTTGCACAAACAAAACACCCTAAAAATAAAAAAAATAAAATAAATATAAATATAAAGATAATTATATTTTTAAAAAAGCAGATACCGGCAATTTTAAGTTTAGCAAATATACAAGCGACGATTTTAGTAATTGTGCATATGGCTCAGTTTGATAGCCAACGATTGTAGACATATCTATTGTTTACTTGGCAAATTGACTGCGTGATATTTTTTTATTAATCCATGTAAATTTTAATCATGATTCACGGTTAAATAACAATATTTTAAAGATAAAAACGCAATTTAATTGTAATCATACAAATAATGGCGCTTTATTTTAGCATGCATATTGGGAATATTATAAAAGTAATGTGGACCACGTTGACCATCCCCCAACTTATACCTCAGGTATCGATTATTTTTGAAGGAAACACAAGTCAAATTAACTTAAAACCCTACGAGAAAATCGCTGGTTCGCCATTGATCGATCACTGAAGTATTATACACGAGTATAATACGCATGCACAAGACGGAATAAGACACGGACGATTCCGAAATGCACCGCTGATCGCCCGTCCGATAGTCAACACGACAATTTTATAATACTTGTACGTACTTGATATTTTCTTGACCAGGACAACGTATTATAAGTAACGAATTTTGAGTTTGGGCCACCGTCCTGTAGAAAAATGCAGTAAAAACGTCGGTTACATTATTTACGGACGCGTCTTTTCGCGACGCAGCCATTCGTACATTTTCAATCGCGTATAAATTCAATTATTCGTGCGAATTTATATAGTTTTAGTTTTTCTCCGCTTTTTTTGCCCTCTTTGCTCTATGAAATACTTAAACCTTTCCGGAACTCTCGTTAAGACCCCCGTATCCGCGACGATGCAGCGCGCGTCTTGATTTATGTTATACATTTTATATTATTTGTTAGGTTAGGTACCTATACTATATCTATACATACCTACTCGAAAATCCTCCGGCTACGCGTCGTATATTATTATTATTTTAGTTTTCTCTCGAAATATCCCATCGTTGTCGCAGTCGCAAAGAGCTCGCAAACTAGTCATTATTTTCGAAATGGTGTACCTACCCGTATCAATTAACATAAAATTATGCTAATACCGTTGTTACATTTGATATTATATATAGGTACCTATCCGCGAATTATCGTCAAATTACCTATATGAATTATCGTTGTTTTGCATACATTTGTGTTTCACATCAAATACGGATACTAACATAATTATTTTCCTTCACATGCGAATTTAACAGATGATATTATTATTCATTCTGACAAGTTATCTGTACGTTTTATAGATAATATAATATTATTGTTATCCATCCTCAGGTTCAAATTACTTTTATCAATATAATCTCGTTCGTTATTTTTAATATTACTATATTAGTACACTACTTGAATAAATAATTTTAATTGTAATAAATCATATGTATGTATACGTACGTATGTGTGTATTTATTTTTAATCAATAGATAGATATATACAAAAATTAGATGGCCGACTCAATCAAGTTCGAATTATAAGTTCACCGGGCCTGAAGTCCGGCAGTTTAAAGGGCATAAGGCTCTGGCACTATTTTTTCACCGACAACTCAGTTTACCTTTTTTATGAAAAATGATACAAATAGAAGGGTTTTACAAAACAATTTCTTTGAAAATGTTTAATAGTTAATTTTCATTACGTATAATATTATTATTTAAATGTAAAAAAAATCTAGTTAATTTTTAACTTATTGAGTCACTCAACAATGAGTGTACCTATATAAATCTGAACCTTGATTAACACGTGAAATATGAGTTGTTTATTAATTATTATGCTATGAATTGTGTTTTTATATGACAAATATTTAATACTAATCGTAATTTTGTCTATATACGGTCACTTATTCCATGTGATTAACTCAAGGTACAAATAAAATATTTCACGGGATAAACATACAATTTTCAGTAAATAAAAACAACTGTTGAGTTCATAAATCTATTTATAATATTCTTTTAAACAGTCAGCTGTATCTAGTTGTTTTACATATTTATACATTTTTTTGTCCTATAATTAATTATTCATACAATTTCAGATTTCTTTTATACAATCATCGAAATTAAGAATTTCAAACTATACGTTAATAACAAAATCACGTCCACTATTTAGGCGTTTTTTCGCAGTTTTTCTCATTATTTTAGGAAAAGTACAAATAATTGTAAATATATTACTTTCGAATTCATTGTGACAAAAATATTCCTTATGTGTTCGAGGACAAGATTATTATCGAAATTTTAATGTTTTTAATCGTTAGGTATGTTCGGTATTCAAAACCAATCGAAACGTATATTTCGATAGACGGGAAAAATCAAAACCGGGGATTATACAGGTAATAAAAACAAAAGGCAATCTAATAAATTACTGTCGAGCGTTATTCGGTTTGTAAATATATGTATACTAAAATTCCTTCAGAAAGTTATTATAAAATACAATATACATTTATAAACTTTAAGGATAACGATGGCGAGCTGCAAGATTTTAAATTCCAAACGATTCCGAAGACGTATAAAACCCGCTAAATTATGTATTATATTATATTGTATATATTTTACTAGTTAGTATATTGCACTGCTGCAAACAAAACTAAATTATTCATTATTTCCGAGTGAACTACTTAATCGTGTTCGGATCGTATATTATTATAAGAAAAACGTTCGGAGATTTATTATCGTTAAACAAAAATATCGTATTATTTTTCGCAAACATAGAGAAGGCGAATAACATAAAGTAATAAATCTACTATGGTGCTCGGACACGATGTCGTCGGCAAAGTATTAATATCCAATCGAGGTCACACTGTAGTCGTGTATAGTGTATACGGGGTGGTTTGTTTTTTTTTTTTTTATCACGATTCACAAAGCAACAACAATTTTCTATACGAAGATTTTTCGTAGATCTCTAACCTATAAATTTTAATTTAATAATTTTGTTCTTTTATTAAAATTGTCAAACGTTATGATATTATATTATTTTCAAATGAGCGAGTTTAGCAGAGATATTTGAAAATTCAAATTTAACGTGCGTTATTATTTGAGATAGATGGATTATGGTTGTCGGTTCATGATTCTTTAGAAACCGACGAAACTAATAATTATCATATTGTAAGATGTTTATAAATTGGTTCTTATTCTCATTTTTGTTGTGTGATAAATGTTATCACACTTCATAATTTGTTTCTTTTAGTAGATATTGGTTTTTATGGAAGGGCGCATTATTATTATAATTTTAATTACTGTGATAATCAGTCGAACGATTTGTTGGCAGTATTTATAACGCGTGTTTGATGTTATTACTATTTTATTATTTTGACAATATAAAAAGAAGAACCGTCATTGGTATTGGTATCGAAATCGAAGGAACGATTTTTAGACCCGAACGAGAACCGTTACCGATGTTTTTCAAGAACCATACCATACCTAGTTTTTATAGTACCATCACAATATAAGAAATACAGGTAAAATATTGTAAATACGCCGATCATATTAAAAATACCAAAATGGAGTTTACTCAAAATCTTCATACATAGATAATCGCTTAATTGTGATAAAAGAATTATAGATAACATAAAACTGCAGGATTGGACGTCACTAACTGAGGACATATTTTCACGATTCAGGACCGATAATAAGTTTATTTACATTTTGGTATAATTTGATTACTATGTATAGTACCGAACATGTTAATCTATATTATTATTATACATATATCAAAGCTAGGTACATTTTTATTGGTTTAAATTATGATATCCTAAAAGTAATAATAAAAGATAACTAAACCAAATTAAAGTTAATTTTAAAATATAAAAAAATTTGAATAATAAATTTTCAGGAAAATAAAAACTCATAAACCCATTTATGTTGTACCGTTAAAGACCTTTTAGACCTTTATAAAATTAACCACACAAGGCTCATGTGGAATCCTACATAGGCCACATGGTTATCTTGTTATGTAAAAATTATGTATATTCACGTTAAAATTGTCATTATTTTCATCAAAAAAATAAATAAAAACCATAGATTTATTGTAAATTATGGTTTTGTTTTACAATAAAATTCGTAAATAATTTAGATTTTAACAGAATATCTAGGTAGGTTATTTTTTAATATTCCATTTTATTTTTTTATTTTTTTTTTTTTTACAAGTTACGTTATAAGTTATCCAAAAAAGTAACTTATAACTTCACTTTATAACTTTCCAGTTAGTTACTGCCCAACTATAATACATATATAAAACCTATAGGTGATTATAGGTCCTAAGCTGTCTTCACTGATAAACTAATGTGCCTCATCCATTTCTTTATTGTCTATGTAAAATAATCACCCTGTATAAAAGATACAAGGAGAATCGGACACCGGGTAAATTTACTCGAAACGAATTCTGTCAAAAGAACCACAACACTGCAGTGAGTTATCATTAATTATCTAACGCGTATTAGTGTACTTCATAATAAATATATACAATATTATATACCTAACAAAATCTAACTTATACATGTTTTTCTGCTATTTTTTTTTTTTTGTTTTGTGCAAAATGTTCATATAACATTTCCGACAGTCATATACCGTAACGATGACGACGGCGACTGAAAAACTATAAATATATTTTAGAACGTACGACTCCTACACTGCAATACACATCATGTACAAAGAAAAACAAATAAACAAAAACAGAAAGTTTTCAACTTTTTTTTTTATGCTACAAACTTGTATTATAAATTCGTTTTCTAAAACCGTTAAAATTAATGTTGTTTTTGTATACTTATACTTTTAAAAATTGTATGGAAATGATTAACCCTTACACACTATTGCATTCGTTTATCGGTACTATGATAACAATAAACTATAAATAGGTACTCACAAATAAAAATACTCGGTTGTCCCGCGTAAAACGATGTGTTAAATAATTTCGAGCGAAAACTTTCCACACCTATTAATCAGTCATCATCCAATTTATATTATCAACTTATTTATTTTAAAAATCTCTGGACTCGATTGAACATAAATTACAAAAAACACACCGGACTTGATTGCAATTATAATATAATAGGGAAACGATTTTTCAATTGTTTGTAATCTATAACTGTGATGGTGACGAAATTTTGTGATTTTCGAACGCACTACTTTGTAAATATATACCATGACGTACGCAAGGCTGGATTATGGAGGGAGCTAGGTAGAGGAGGACCCTTTAAAAAGGACGTAGGATGTATAAAGGATAAGGACCTTTAAAGGTGCAAATTCGCTCGAGCCGAAAGACTTCAATAGGTTTCAGTTTTTACCATAATATGTTCTTTAATCTGTTACTTTTATATTTTTAATGTGTTTTCGTTACCTTACAATGACGTGTACCTATATATTCGAAACTGTTATAGTAGGTTACTATTATTTTTGTATAAATCTTATCACAATTGTTATCAATTTGTGTTTTTTTTATTTTTTTACTTGTTTAATAACTTTTTTATAATTCTTTTCGAGGTCCTCGTTTTGGCCCCGGTGTCTTTAAATGTATTAATATGATGTATAATGTACGCTATTTAACTGTTCATTTCACTTATTCGCCAACGCTTAAAATACTGCGTACAATCTCTCCCTAAGCAACTAACCAACTACCTAAAATTAGCCACTTGAAAAGCGTATGGTTATTGTTCTAGAGCTGTTGGAAAAATATATAATATATTAGACGTACGCTTATGTAATATTACAAAAAAACCGATTGATCGGCCGAGTATATCGACGTTTTACAATATTTATTGCCATCGTGTTATAAATTAATATTATACCGCCGTGTTCGGGCATCATCCCCGATAAAAGACCCTTATATATATATATATATATATGTACATATGTATATATATATATATATCGGGAAGAACGCCTCGGAATCGTATCAACGCCCTATCGATCGTTCGGGACTCCATTAGTCAGTTAATCTTCATTTCGCGGCATTTGTACGTTTTGTAAGTTTATACGGAAAACTTAGACGGCGAGACACACTTATAAGGTTCACGATGTTGCGTATTATTATTATGATTATTATTGGTAGCTCGTCCGCGGAGAAAGGTAGTCCGCAGTCGGTTTCCGTACGCATACGGCCGTATAGATCCTCCGCCAAACTTGCCGAACAGCTGCATCTATTCGTGTGCGCGGGTAAAATATAATTTTAGTTTATTAATCATAACTATATACTGTTACTGCATACAGGTGTGCGTAATATGTATGTGTGTGTGTATATATATATAGCTATTTTGCACTGCGAAATTCGTTTGTCTAACCTCTCTACCGCTCCTGTCTCGGCTCTAACCCGCTGCGGCACGCCGAAATCATCCCGTTTCGGACGTGTTATTTGCTCCGTTGAAGAATGGCTGGCACGTGATCTCACATTTCAGACTTCTTTTTCCTATAATATATATTTTTACGAAAATACTCTATACACCCGTTATATCATACGTACCTACAATACGACTTTGTGTACCAGGCGGTAGAGACGTGCAGAGAAAGACTTCCGGTGTGAATTCCCACATCGACTCCCTTGCGTTTTCCATTTTCTCGGTCGGGATTTTATACCCCGTCCTTGAAACCACGTGTTTTTCGTTTCGAGATGAGAAAGTTTGCACCCATTTCGGCCAATTTTCGTCCGAGATACCTGGTTAACAACTCTTCTGCAGTTCTGCCAAATAACCATTTAGAAATGTGGCTGAACCGACAAACGCGTCACAACCCAAGTTTTTATTTCCGATCCCCGTTCTTGTACTAGATCTTAGACCGCGATTTAGTGACTTTTATGAATTAATCGTCTTCAATTAGACTGTAAAAACTATAGCCGTCTGTCGACCACGGACCGGTTACAAATGTTCGATCCAAAAAAACGTATAGATCTATGCCTTTTTCGGATGCAATTTCACGCTTGTTACTTTGTTTTGTTAAAGGTAGGTAGAAATAATTAATAAATTCTTTATGGAAAAACGTAATAATATCTATAACACTTCGAGTACATCCTGTATACACTTTTTGATAACCAAATTGCCGAAATTATCAAACAATTACAAACATCATGTACTGTATTTAGTTACTGATTATCTATTGATAAAATACCGTGCAGTTAACAAAAAGTTTTGACAATATTGTAACCAAGTAGTTAAAAACAGCAAACTGTTAAAGGCTATAATACACAGGAATCGATATTCGTGAACGTTATTTGCATTCAATAATATTTCTTAGTTTACCATGCGTTTATTAAAAAGTGTACCACTAAAATACGCTTATTATAACAAGGAAATCGTAAAACTCATAAAAGTTGTAAATTCTAAATAGCTTTTATAGTACATTTCACGCAAAATTTCTTCCAGGGATGATACTTGAAATTTTGCTTCTGCCTCACGATACATTCGGTTTTTGTTTTTCGTTGTACATTTGCCGTATCCTTATGATGGAAACGCACTATTTTGTTTTGTCAACGAGTTTAAGAAAACAATTTAACCCGTAAACGGCTGCGGATAAACGCATCGCGTGCACGAGACGCTGCGCCGGAGGAGAGTCGAACGTCGAGTTTCCATGTGTGGCACGGCACACATGCATATGTATTGTTTCACAATATGCCGCAAAAATATTTCAAATAATTAGTTTAAACTAATTAAAATTTCCAACAGGCAGGTATACGTGTGATTAATATACGTCTCACTCGGAATTGCTATTTAAACAGATCGGTCGCGTCGACTGCACGCTCCGCTGCAACAGCCGCTAAGTTCGGTTCGCGCATCGCGTATACAATATACATAATATTATATTATTACCATTAGGTATACAGTTTACAGTTCAAATTATTCAGTTTTCAGAAAATATATAATACAATTAATATATTGCATTTTACGGAGTGTCCCACGAAGACATACACCCGTTGTTACACATGCTCTGTTAAATAATGGCGTCAATCAAATTCTGTAAGATAGTCATATATTTCCAGTTGTTATATTTTGCTATTTTGCACACATTTTAAAAAATGATGAAAAATTTGAACATAAGAAATAAAAAAGAGTTTATTATTCTGAAAATGTTAACGTTTTAACTTTTTATTTTCATTGAACTCGTGGTTCTTTTTTTCTTATTCAGAAAAAAATTGTGCACAATTTATTCTTCTTCTTCTGATTTTTAGACCACTGAGGATCATCTCATTTCACACATTAGCTTCCACTCTTTTTCTTTACAATCCGATCCTCCATCAAGTAATTTTACGTCTTTCTGGATCATCCTGTCTTCGATATTCCCAACGATCTTTTTCCGCACATTTGTTTCTTTACTGCTCTTATGAGTTCGTTCTTACTTCTCCAAAAATATCCCACCCATTTTTGTCTTTGGTTTCTTATAACGTCTACTATATTTGTGTTCTGGAATAAAGTCTCCATCTCAGTATTTTTCCTCCTTCTCCATTCTTCACTGATCCAATTGCTTTATTACCATATAAATATAATGTTTTAAAATTATCTCATATGGTTTTCTGATAAGTTTTAAAAAACTACGATGTTTAAGGCGCTATTTTTTGTAAACTTAATATCATGATGTTTTCAGAAGATTTTATTTTGAAAAATTAAACTTTAGGATATGATATTCAAAATTTGTCAAAAATAACAAAGTATATTAATTAAATTGAAATGAGGACATTTGTATTCTTTATCGCTGCATTTAAAAAAAAAAACAAACAGAATTGTATGTTTTGAGGAGATACGATATGACTATATAGATATATTATATCTTCGTAAGACTTTCTGTATTTCAACCGTAAATTATTTTATATGTAATATAGTTTCACGTAAATATAGACGTACGCCTATTAGATTGGTAATACTAAAATGTATGTGGAAATCGCCATAATCGTTAAAATGTATTGCCGTTCGTATAATATAGACGGGATGAAAAACAAATTTCCAAAATTATGACAATAATGTTTATCCGTTAATTTACTTTTTAAATATTACTATTTTATGGGTGGATTGCATATAAATATGTTCTGCAATGATTCACAGAATAATTAGCCCACTTACGGATTTGTATAAATAACATAGAGTGTTCCTATAGAATACACAACAGTATTAACGGGTCTGTAAATTATCGCTAGTAACTTTCAGGTACAGTTTTAGTTTACTAATTTCTAATTTGTTATGACTTGTTCATTAGCAATGTTAATAATTTGTTGTAAAATTCACTTTGTTATAGGAGAGAGAAAAACTAAACCCTTAAATCTTAAGTATTTAACACTTCTGTTCTTTAACATAAATAAATAAAAAAAAGGATTTAAATAAGTCCTATTAATATGTAATATATTTTCTTAGTATATATTTAACAACAAACCAAATAAATATTTTTTACCTGATTTTAAAATTCAATTTTGGCACTAAAATATTCTCGGAGAGCAATTATGTCCACTATTAATAATTTTTGTTGCCAAATAGTGTGTAATCGTAAGTTTATACTAATACCTACTCTCTCGTGTTCTCTTTTTATTTTTTTTTCATTCTCAAATAATAATTACTTAAAATGTACCGTATACTCCAGCTTTTTTCTTAGTTTTCGTAATGTGAATACTTTAATACAATAACAAAAGGCAATAGTAACAATAATCCAATACAATCAAATAAACAGAAACTATATCGAGTCGTTTTTTTGAACTACATGTGTAATTATTTCTTATAGTTCGATATTTTCGAATGGTATAAATTTTATCTTGGTCTAGCTAAGATATTCGTTGGCGGAACATTAGTGCATACAAATTTCGTATAAATCGATACTCAAATAAATCACGGTTTTTCATTTTTATAAATATAATTATTGGGATTTTAAAAACGATGAAAAAAGTGATTGGAATTTGTTTTTTTTAAAAAAAAATTATTATTATTATAATAGTTCATACATTATTTCAGGAAAAAAATCATAACATTTAATAAGAAATTTAATGTTAAAAATCGTTTATCTGAGTATAATATGTACACTATGTTCGGTATGAAATATTCTGTAGTTGCATTTATTATCTTATATTTTTCAACGATAATCTCACAATTTGTAAGTCTTTATGCTTACTTTTGTTAATAATATTATTCGAGTGCACGAATGAAATGATTCGGTTTTCGCGTGACTTTAATCTGTTGTTATTCCTTTGTTGTCGCATTGGGCTCGATTCGCCCAATTCGAATACCCGAGAGGGCTGTTTTTTTTTCTTATATATTTACGCTTAATATTACTTAAACCCACGGACACATTATGTTTATCGTGCACAATGCTGTAAAACAACGTCATGGCTGTAATAATATTGCATATAGTCATATACAAATGGGTCAAATTTTCGGCGGTCTATATCGATTTTACTTAGGTACGGTGTATTTAACACTTACGTATAATATTGGTGTTACTTTATTATTTGACAATATTAAGTAAGGAATAATTATAATTGTTTTGATTGCGTACAATATTAAGATTATACATGGTAAATCTCATTTCATCGTGAACCGGAGAGAATCAGTGGCGTCATTTGGAGGAGTTGTGAGACGGGGCTACTCGGTGGTTTGTCCCGGTTAGCTTTGTGGATTGATCTCTGTAGACTTTCGGGGGGTCTGGGAAAAAATCCTTTAAAATATCGAAAAATGTTTCATAATATTTATTTTTCCTCCGTATGCTGTCTGAAAGGAAAATAGAGCGCAGTGGTCAAATTTTCGATTTTCCTATTACTAAATAATTTTTAATTAATTATAATGAAATATCTAATGGTCTTGTTCGAACTAAGTTAGAATGTTTGTATTTAATTTTTCGTAAATAACTCTGTCAATCGACATGTTTGCTTATATCCTTACATACTTATAATCCAATTTACCAATCATTAAAAAGACTCCACTTATAGAAAAATTTTGAATACATTTTAATTTCGGTATTATTTTTTTAAATATTATTGAATCGTTTAATTTAGTTATTTTCATAATTTCTTATTAATTTGTTTGTTAATACGTATTCAGTTTTACTCGATAATTTTGTAGATTATCACTGGTCCATAATAAAACTAATCACCCTGTATATAAGCACTCGCTACTAAAAATACGCATTTCAAGCGATATTTTTGCCTAGATTTCATTTTCTCAATAAAAAAATTAAACCAAAAAAAAAAAACTCAACCCGTCACTTTCTCTCCGGTTTTACGCACTAATTTATTAGGTTTTTTTTTTTCGGCGTTCAATATAAAAGTTTTCCAATTTATTTAATCAAAATAACGAATAAAAAAAATAAAACCCCGTCATGACTTATTGATGCTTTATTACTTACCATTAAAGTTATAACACCGAAAGTCGATAAAAACAAAAAAAAAATACCAAATGAAATAAAATATAAATAAGTATTACTGACGTTAAGTAAAACGTGATCTTTTCTCTATAATAGCTTTAACACCATCATTTCTAGACCATAAAGGTACGAAAAGATAATAATACAATTCATGAAAATAATATTATTATCATTTATACGACTAGAATAATAATAACAACCATCCGTGTAATCAAGTATATAGGAAGGCCTATGTTATTATTAGTTTGTCCTTAACCGGCCGGATCGCTACTAAATACATTCCAGTGTTTATATAGCTATTTTAATTTTGTTTCTCTTCGTCTTCTGTATGGTGTGACGGCCTTTATTAAGATCACCATACGAAGTTTAAAATCTCCTACCAACCTATATCACTGTACTCTGAAGAGTATTTCTATTTGGTTTTCGGCTCCGTTTACTTGTTGTAGGTATATTTTATCAATTCTCGCCGCCATGACCTCGGTCAGTCTAAAGACATGATTCTAATAGGGTCTTCACATAT